AACAGTCCGGGTGAGAGATATTGGGAGATTTATGGTACTGATGATGGAGATGGATTTTAGAGATATTTAGAAGGTAAAATTAATAGGAGTCGGTTACTAATTAAAACAATAGAAAAGACCAAATTATTATTTGCCATTTGTTTGATTTTGGGCTGGGGGGAGTGTAGATTACTTGGTTTGGTGGGCATGGGCACATCATATTTGTGGTCCCTTTAACTCCAGCAAAGGGGACTCTTAAATATATGACGTTACATATCTACTATGGAATCACATGCTGTCGTTAAAAATGGTGTAAAAGAATTTTTCTTGATATGGAAAGATGTTCAAAATACAATGCTTAAAATAAGTTTAAAGACTTCGTAAAGTGTACAGCATGACCATTTTTAATATTTAAAATACAGTATAGAGAAAAGCCATCTGGGAAGATGTAAAGTGTTAACTGTGATCTCTAGGTTGAGTTTTCAGAAAAGTTTTTAATTTGGGCTATGATTTTTTTTCTGGTTTTCTACAAAGAACATATGCTAATTGTGTAATATGAAAAAAGTTATTTTAAAACACTTAACATTTCAAAAATAGAAATTTATTTTAAGAGCACAAAATGAGAATAAATAGAGCCCCAAGGGGATGGGAAAGGTAGTGATAACAGGATCTTGATCCTTCTTCCTTTATCCTCAGATATTCTTTCCCACCCTGTATCTTCTGGTCCGGCTACCTGGCAGGGGTTCCTAGGCCTTTTTCAGCCTTTGAGGGTCTGAGAGTAGAAGGGCTAGTCAGAGAGGCTGAGCTGAACTCAAATCCAGGATTTTGAAATCCATGGAATCTTCTCTGATCCCTGTCCCCAACTGAGGGTACATTCAAACCTCCTTTGGATTCTAGTAGTATTGATCAGTTCTACTGCCTCTGCTACTCTGGAAATGGCTTCTGCAAGTCATACATGGCCTCCACATTGCTAATCCAGCCACAGTCCTCACCATACTGGACACATCATGATGAAGCACTGGCCATTGCAGGTTCTTCTTTGTCTCTCTAGCCTCTTAATCTTGGAGTGTCCAAAGGCTCAGTCCTTGGAACTTTTCTTCTATTTATACTTACTCCCTTAATCATTTAATCCAGTTTTAGCTTTAGATACTCTCTTGCACACTGACAATTCCTAATTGCTATCTGCAGCCTGGATCTCTCCCCTGAACTCCAGACTTGTATAACCTAATGTGTTCCCATCTGGATTTCTCAAAGGCATGTGAAAGTTAATATGCCCCCTAAAGAATACCTTTTCTTCCCCCACCTCTCTCCAAATTGTTCCTCCTCAGTCTTCTCCCTCTCGGTAAATGGCAACATCAACCTTCCTTGGGCTGAGGCCACAAACCTTGGAGCCATAATTGACTTCTCTTTCGTTTCTCACCTTCCATGTCCAAAGCCTACTGGCTCTGTCTTACAAATGTATTGATATATGCTCTCTGTATGCCCTGACCCATGCCACCATCTCACCCCACCTGGATTACTGCAGCCTCCTACAACTTGGTCTTCTTCCTTCCTTCCTTGTTCCCTACGGTCTATATTCAACTTAGCAGTCAGAGTGATCTTTCAAAATACACATCAGATGATGTCACTTCTTAGCTCAAAAAACTCTTAACAGCTAGACATAAACAGAGTAAACGCCAGAGTCCTTAAAAAGCCTACCCGGCCCCAGATGATACAACCCGTTACTTTTCTTTTAACCATATTCTGCCTGACTTCTGGATCCAGTTTCACAGTCCTTGTTATTCCATAAATATTCCAAGCATGTTCAAAGCTTCAGGGTCTTGTACTTGCTCTTCCCCCTGCAGGGAATGCTTTTCCTTCTGATATCCATCTGGTAGCTACTTTTTTTGGTCTTTGCTCAACTGAGACCTTCCCTGACCTACCTCCCTGCTTAAAATTGCAACCCTCCACTCCCACTACTCACCATTTCCTTTCCCTGATTTATTTTTTCCCATAGTACTTAATACTTAACAAATTCTATCATTTGTTTTTTTCCTCCCTTGCCCAGATGTAAGATCCTTGAAAGCAGAGATTTATTTCCCTCCACTAATCCTAGAGCAGTACCTGGCATAAACTAGGCACTATTTATTGGATGAGTAATACTCAGTATGTTATACCTTGTATTCTAGTTTCACCTGGAGAAATGTTTTCCCCACTAGATTGCTGGGTGCTGAAGGAGAGGGCGGGCTTCATTGTCACTCCCTTATCTCCACCTGCAAAGTGTCTATTACAGTGTCTTACACATCATAGATGATTGATACGTGGTAACTCAACGATCAAAGCACAGACTCACCCTTGTTTCACTCTAGCAAACAGGTCATCCAGGACAGTCCGGCTAATTGTTAAAGGTAGGTGTCACAGACATCACTGATGCCAGTTCCATGTACCCTCAACCCCCTGAGCTAACTGCATCTGAAAACAGTTCCTAGCACACTGATTATCTGCGTCTACTCTCTTCTCTTCCTGATAGGATATATATTGAAGAGTTAACATCTCTGGGGATAACCTCCAACCAATAGGGGCAGGAGTTGGAGGATAAATGCCCCAGCCCCTCCAGCTTCTGGTTAACATGGTCTGGATAAGATGGTGTCAGTAGTGTTTAAGTATGACCTGGAAAGTATAGCATTTAAACATGTAAGAGGTTGTCACACAATTACTATACCACAAACAGGGCTTTCGCTTGAAAATGCCGTCTAACTCATTTATGTTTAGCATCCAGCAGTGCCTGGCACCTAGTAGGTAGGTGCTCAGCAGATGACTGAAAATGAAGAAACATGTCCTTAATGGTGGAACTGAGCCATCTTCAGAGCTTGCTTAAAAATGGTGACTTGAGAATGGTGTTCTTAACTAGTTGTTAACTCTCCTACACACGCACAACCCCTCTTGACTTCCCTAGGAAACTCCTTTCTTTCTCCCTTACTGCCTATGAGATTGGGGGAGTAGTACTTCATCAGTGCCCTCAACGAACCTGGGAGGTTAGGCCAGATGGCCCCTGAGACCATCTAGTTAAACCCAGTCAACCACTGAACTGGGGCCAGAACCCAAATGTCTATATAGCCTCCATGGGACTAGTCCTCTTTCCACAGTAGCCACTGTGAAAATTCCAAAAAAGAAATTAATTTTGGAGGCTAACAGCCATGGCATCTTCAGACTCAATTTCAACAGTATTACTGTTTAAGAAAGGCTGCCAAAAAGATAATGGAGATGAAAAAGTGCTCTGTAAACTGTAAAGTGCTACCCGAAAGGTTATCTGACTGCCAAGGTCAACAAACCCGGGCTTGGGTGTAGAGCCAGCGCTTAAAACTGGAGGAGCTGAGGCTGGTCATTCAAAGGGCCCCTTCTGAATGGGACACCAGTGTACTCGCTGGGATCAAAAGGACATAGCTGCTCGCCTGGTACCACCCTCACACCCTCCCCCTATTTTAAGTACAATACACTTATGCTGAATAGAATACTTAGACTATGTATTTGTACTAAACAATACTTACACTATGCATTTGTATTAAACTGATGATCTTTTGGACTTTTTTCCTTTCGTTTGTATTTCAGAGGCCACACATTGAGCAGCAGCCACCTGCACCGCTGGGCAATGAACTGCCTCTCCAAAGTTTCCAACCGTCTGGGTACATTAGTGTTTTTCTTCCACATTAGTTTACATTTGTCCCAGCTGCATTAGAATTTAGATTCTGCACATACTCTGGCTCTCAAAACCACATTCTTCTGTGCTCACACTACCTCTTTGTCATCTAACAACTGAATACGCATTGTTCCCCTGGCTTGGCTCATGAAAGGGGACCCTGATGAAGAGTAAACTGCCCATTTTCTGGGCTTCCTTATCCTAGCGCCCAACACTAGAAGGGCGGCAGTGTTTGGTGACCTCCTGCGTTAGGTTAACGATCTGGGTCTGGGCCCAGGCTGGATAACGAGCCCGTGAATAATGGGGAGCGGATTGTTAAAGCCTTATCATGGTGAAGCTGAGAGGCGGAGACGGCTTTTTCCTGCGCACCCCTGCCCCTTCTCCCCAAGCATCTTTTCTTAATCTGTCGAAGCTAATGGGGTTTATGTGGCAGACATTCATTCCTCACAAGTTCCAATTCAAGCGGCGGTGCACGGATTCAGTCTCGATGTTTCTACACTTAGAGGCTTGTAAAACAGTAAAGAAAGATAGCAGATAAACCGACAGAAAGCCTTCTGTTCTAGGCTTGAAAAAAGGCTCTACTTTATTTCTCCACTGTAATAGGAGTCTTGAAAAGGCCAAATTAGAGGTGCAGAAACAGGGTGAAATTAAGAGCACTAAAAGCCATAATAATACTGCATCCAACCCAGCGAACTTTATTTTCTTCCACGTATTTCCTGAGTGGTATATATTTCACGAGAAAAAGACAAACTTGGAGGAAAGGTTTTTACTGCTGCATGGCCAGAAACAAACATAGTGGGCAAAACGTTCCTGACCTTTTTTCGTTATTTATCAACCATTAATTGAATTTTTACTTGTCAAAAGCAAAACTTATTGGGGAAAAATTAGAAAATGAATGGTCTTAAGTTCTTATTGGTTTTCAAAGTATTCACATAAGGGGCTGAGAATAATCCTGGGACTCAAAAGCCCTAGACTACTTTGTCATCTTTTCACACAACCCAAAGCCAAACATGGGCTATAGTTTAAAATAAAATAAAAAAAAAAGTTACTAAGAATTGGTGGCTCGGTGGGCTCAAGGGGATGAGGCGATCTCAGCTTACCATTGGCTGGGAAGAGGATCTCTTGACTTTCTACCTCTTTGGATTACATTTTTAGCTGGAGTTTAAGAGCAGTTGTCTATGTCTATTTCCAGGTAACAGAGTTTCCTGAACTGCCCTCAATTCCACTGTCCACTGGTAAGGTTATATTGTTGAGAGGGCTAGGGTGGGGGTGGAGAGAAAGGCAGAGGGCTTTTGCCTGCTTTAGAATTAGACCAATGAGGGCAAGAAAGAGGCAGGTTCAGGTGCTTGGTAAACGAAAAGCAAACTTCTTTATTGTACACAGTACAGAATATAACGCAGCTTGGCAGGATGCATACGGCCCTGCGCAGGGGAAAGTATTTCAAATCAACTGGCAGGTTAAAGCCTTTCTGCACTGTAGACTTTCCACACTCTGGAAAAGAAGCAAACAAACCAACCCCAAAGAACCCCCGAAAAAACCCAAAACCATCCGGGAGGTGCATGAGTCCGATGGGAATGCAATGGTGATGCTGCTGTCCTATGCCCGGTGACAGCACAGGCCACGTAAGTTACAGCAGGGGAGGGGTAGCTCAGGCTACAGAGGATTATTTTCATATTGCTAAGACAGCATAAATCCATTCAAAAAAAAATCCAAACCAGGGTAAGTAAAGAAAGGAAAACCAAATCTATACAGCATTTACAACAAATAAATCTCTAGCCAGCTGGGGGTAAAATATGCATCTATGTATAGACTATGTGTAGGTTAAGAAAGCTATAAATATGGTTTAGAAAGAGTCCTTTGATTAGAGTACAACGCTAATTAAGGCCCAAGCTACAGGTTTACCACCTTTGTGGGCTAATTAGCTTCCAATAGAGGAGAATCTCACGTTTCCATAGCTATAAAGTACACCCCTTATCCCTGTGAACCTCTTCACAAATGTGCTGTTGGTCATAAGGGGGACAGTTTGAGACTATGGAGTGCTCCATTGATAGAAAAGCAGTTCAAACATGTGTCTCACACTCACGGAGTCAGCACTGCCTCCTTCACATACGAGGAACAGTGCAGTCCTTCTTAATGTGCTAAATGTCATGGGGAGCACAGAATTCTACCAGCAGAGCAGGCAGCAAGGTACCACCAGTAATTTTTTCCTCTACTTTGAACTCAGCTTTCACGTAGCTTTAGCTTGGTTGTTTAAAACTTTTCCAATATAATACAGCAATGAGAATAATTTCTTTTTTAAAAAAGGCAGGAATCTAGAATGCTAGCACTGTTGCTTACCTGTCAGTTACACACGTAAGTCTCAAACCCTACTGAATCACACAGGTAGGGTCTAAAGTCCAAGATTTAAAGAAAAAGGAAAACAAAACGAACTGATGAAATGGAAATTGTCATCAGTCATGCCCAGGGAAGAATCCCAAGGGTTCTCACCAGGTGACCAGGTTTCCAAAGGACATGACACATGTTATATACATATGCTTTCCAGAGAGGGCATGTTAGTGAACACGGGGAACTATACACAGAGAATCTAAGCTTGTGTCCAGGCTGCCCTGCACACTTCAAAAATGTACAACTCAGGTGCAAATGTTCCATCAGGTTGTCTGGTGCAGAAAGCACAAAGCAGGCAACACGGCGGGCTTTCACATGGCCAAGGGGAAGCCTCAGCAAAGCCCCTCTCAAGCTGCAGTGTCTTCATAAGTTGGCACGGCCCTGGCTAAAGGACACAGTGCACAGTTACCAAAAGGTTTGTTTTTGTTTTTTGTTTTTTTGCTTTAAATACCAAAACTACAAAAATCAGTTTATAAACTGTTTTTCCAAAACAACCACCAAAACAAAACAATCCCCCAAATCAAGGCAAAACAAAATACTGTCAAAAAGTGTTAATCGCCCTTCTCCTAAAAGTCATCCACACTCAGCCATGTGACTGGGAAGAGAAAGGGTGCTTGCTCTACTTGGCGCACATGGCTGATGGTTCCCAAGAGTAGCCATGGTTTATGATTTTGAGAACCACGAACTGGGCTACAGCTGTTCTAACTGCCCCCCTTTTTCTAGACAAGGGGTAATATTTCAGATTCAGCTAGAAGAGCTTTCCAATGTTTAAGATATATTTTTAACCCTTAATGGTTTGAGCCTCCCCAACTTAGCCTACTTACTTTTCTATGGGTTTGTAATTTTTCGACAAATTGTGCAAATCAGAGCCCTTCTATGTGAAGGCATTTAGTAGTCCATGATCGATGCAGATTGTCACATACTGTGTCCCGTTTTGCGGGTACTAACCTGAACAAGATATTGCTTTGCATATATTGTCCATGGTAAGGAGACTCCATTTTGATCTCTTCCCAGAAACCTCATCAGAATCAGAGTTGAGGCACCAGCCTTTTGGTGGTTTTTTGCCCCTCCCTGTTCCCACTCCCCAGCCAATGTATCTGTCTTTAAGGGTGCCAATCCAGAGACGACTTGGGTTCTCCAGATAATACTCAAAGGGCAAGCTTTAGGAACAGTCAAAAACACAAACAAAACCACTGCCCTCGTTTGCCTGAATGGGAACTGCTAGCTCTAGGGTTTGGCCACTCTGCCACTCAGAAACTTAGTAAGCAAAGCCTTCGGCATAGGGGAGGCTGCTGCAGCGGTCCATGTCCAGGAGGTAAGCAGGGCTGTCTTCAAAGTGGGTCAGCGGCAGGGTGTCCTCCTCGCTGAGGTGGCACTCAGACTCTGCCTTCAGGAACGGACGCTGGTTATCCGGGAAAGCCATGGAGAAGAGGGCATCTGGGTCACAGACAAATTTGTAGACGTATCGCTCTCCAGCCACCTGAGGGAGAAAACACACCTTACAGGGCCCAGTTGGAACAGGGCATGGGATCAGGGGACGAGAACAAGGTATTCATAAGTCACAAAGGCAGGGACCAAAGGAGCAGCTGATTATCCCCATCACTCAGACTTATTTTGAGAAATCCTGGGAACCTATTATCTGCCAAGTATTTTACTGACACTACAGCAATTAAAAAAGAAGGTATCTGAATTTTGAATTCACACTAGATGGACTCTTAAAAGAAAATTCCCACTTTCTGTCTTCCAGTGACAGCTTTGAAAGCATGGTTATACTGAGCCTGGAGTTTGGTGTTCCAAAAAGGTGTAAGGACTGACAGGTGCAAGGCAGAAGCCTGACCATATTTTTGGTCACCTCCGGAGTTTACAGTCTTTGCAGTATGGCCTTGTTATTTGAAAGGTTAGAAATCTGATGAGAGAGAGCCTGTGCAGAAGCCTTAAGTATGTTCCGAAACAGAAAAGAATTGCTTTTGGCTTACGCTGCAGTTTTAAATGACTCATCGCATGGCTCTGTCACACTGAGGGAACCGCTAACTACCTTTCTATGGGTTTTCTGCATTATAATATTAGAACCAGAAGGTCTTGGTTATTCAAGGGCCTCATGGTATGTGGCTGATGAGCCATCTGTGTCAATGGGATCACCTTCTCTCTGCTGGTTGTTTAGCAACAGTACAAGAGGCACCTAATACCGAAAATCAAACCCAGTAATTGGCGTCTGTCTGGAGACGCAGAGGGGCAAGGGAAGGCAGCCAAAATTACTGATAAGATAAACATTTTAGATTTAAAAATTCAAACTGTTGAGTTTAATCTTGCCCTTCAGTCATTCTGCTGTGATTCTAAAATCTTTTTTTTAATTGAACAAGTATGGCTCTGCTTCCAAATCTCTATCAATCAACCATCTCTAGTTAGTGTTATATGCCAGTTTTACCTTAAAGCCCAACCCTGAAAATTAGTTTGTGTGGAAGAGTGCGGCAGGAGAGCACAGTGGAAATAATCCTAGATCAGAAGCCGGGAGCTGCCAGCTTCCAGTCCTGGTTTAGTCACTAATGAGTCTTAACCTCTGTGAACCTCAATTTTCCCTTCAAAAATGGAGGGTACGGCACTACAGCTTTTCTAAGTCTCTCTACACACTGACGGGCTATCATTCACCTTTTAATCAGCTCTCATTTACTTGTGAGTCATACAACAAATACAATAATAACCCCTTCTTTACATTGGATGGCACATTATTATTTCTGAAATATTTTCAAATATATTACCCTGTGGGATTAAAGCAAGAATTATTATCTACATTTTTATTAGAAATAGAGGCTTTGGGAGATTAAGTGACTATCTACATTTTTATTAGAAATAGAGGCTCTGGGAGACTAGGTGAGTTTCCTCAAATCATACAGCCAACAAATTGAAGTGTTAGGATCTGAGCCCACGAAGCCTCATTCCTGGGCCTTCCTGTACTCTTTGCCTATTTATTCTCAGAAACGAAGTTCTCTTCTACTCCCTTAGAAAACACAGAAGCTAGTCATAAGGACAGCTCATTTCCATTGGTTCAAGTTACTGCGTCCTGGGTTGCATCTCCCCGTGTTGGATGTGGAGTTGGGAACAGCAAAGGAATGATGGTGGCTCTCCCACCTGAACTTAGGATTTGACCTGATGATGTCAACTCTAAGGAGGACAGGGGACAATGTGGGGTGGCTGCTGATGGCTATGGTGTTTCTTTTTGGGGTGATAAAACGTTCTAAAATTGATTGTGGTAATGGTTGTACAGCTCTGTGAAACCACTGGACCGTATACTTTAAAAAAAGGAGGGGTAGGGTAGCGGACCACCTGTCCTACAGCATTTAACTCTGTGTCAAGCACTCAAGTTAAACCTCAATTTCTAACCCAAGGGAACTCATACTCCAGTGGGGGGTAGCAACAAGGAAGGAGTTATTTGAGACACAGTGAGAAGAGCAGTGGTAGGAACAAGTACTGGTGCCATCAGAAGCAGCAAAGGGGACCACCTAACCCAATCTGAAATGGAAAGGTGATGACTGAGACAGAAAACAAGGAGGGGCTGGGCAGGTACTGAGAGCATTAGGAATGTTCTAGGTCTTAAGGAGGATGTAGTTTAACAGGTGTTTTCCATTTTATGGTATGCGTGATAATGTACATGTATGTAACATGTATTCTCTGGCAAACAAATACTGCATTAAAGGTGGCTATGCTAGTGAAAGCCGTCAAGTTTGAGTGAAGAAATGAGAGCTGGGTGGTGACCAGAGTGGGAATAGCCTCAGAGGCTGTATGAAGCACTAACAAGTCTAGAGTTTATCTAGAAAATCACAACGAGCTGTTGAGTATTTTTTAAGGTGGCGAAGAGAATATAGGGTCACATTACTACCCACCTATGAGAAAGAGGAATCTGGCTTCTTGTAGACAAGTTCTCAGCAGTTTTGCCCATATGCTTCTGCCAAGTTCATCTCATTGGCTACTGCCAGGTAGACTGCCTCAACATATAAATGCCAGGATCTGGGCAACTGTACATTACGAATCTGGTAGCTAAGAAAGACTTGCCATTCCCATCTTCTACTTCTCCATGGGATGCTGAGACTGTGGCCCTCGCTACCTATCCCACTAAGATTTTTGTACTGATTTCCTCAAAATATGCTTCATCCTTTATTCCACAAAGAGCAACCTGCTACCAGGTGACTCTGCTGCCATTCTACAAACTTTGGGTTTTTAACTTGAGTTCCAGTTTCTGTAAGTCTGAAATAAAAATCAGATGTTCTTATTCCTCTAACACTTCTGAGCGTATCAAACTAACAGATTTGGAAGTCTAGGTGTTTTAACAACTAAAGACTTCAACCAAGCTGTTGAAGTAGAGACCTTCAAGCTGATTCCCTGGAGTCCCTTTCGGATACAACAGTTGGCCTACGTTTCTGGGAATTCTCATAGATAGAGGCAGTTTCGGGAAAGCAGAGGAGCCTAATTTTCCATTGTGTGTTCTACATGCAACTTCTAGTTTCCACATGCCCAAGAGCATGAAACGTACCCTGTATCTCATTTGATTCTTGTCTCAAGTTTGTCTTCTCAAGATTGTTTCCTACCACAGAATCAGGGGGCTAACATTTTCTCCTAGTGATGACCACCAGTCTCACTACAGAAGCCCTGGACTTTTTCCTTAAGAGACCAGAGTGGGCTAAGGGTCTTGTATAATGGCTCACCTTCTGCATGATGCCCTTTTCATAGTAATAGCGGAGAGAGCGGCTCAGCTTGTCATAGTTCATGGCTGGCCGGTTCTTCTGGATGCCCCAGCGCCGAGCAACCTGAAGAGACAGTAAAGTGAAGAGCAATGAAAATGCATTCCCTGGGCCCTGTGTTCTCTCCCAATCCCAGCAGAGCCAGTTCTGTAACCTGATTGCTTTGGTCAATGATCCACTACTCTGACCTGGAAGGGAAGGCATTTAGCTCCTTCCAGACCAAATGTTCAGCAAAGGCGATGACTCAGTGATGACTACTAAGAGGTGAGACCTAGAGATGGAAGAATCCTAGCACTTTAAGATTGCAGAGGGCTTGGCTAACATCCCAGAGGATGCAGGCCCTCTACTGTTTCTCCACATATGAATTATTGACCAATACCCATAGACCATTAACATGTTGCCATTAAGTGCTATGGTTTCTGTAGCAGTCAATAAGGAATAATTAGAATGGTCATTCCTGAAACATTAGAAACACACTAGTGAGTTGCTAATGGGCCAGCAGAGCAAAAGTTCAATTCTAATAAGATTGGAGGGGGGCTGGGAGATGTTTACTTATTGCAGCTCACGGACTAAGGGGGAATCAGATCATTTCAGCCTGCTGCCATCCAATCCCACGCTCCCAGCAGACTTACAGAATGGACATTAAAGCATGTAGCACCATTATCCACTTAATGAAAAATTAACAGGGCTTTCCAAACAGTTCTGAAATGCATTATATCCAACCCAGTCCACCTGAGGTGTGCTGATAGGGCAATATAATTGGAGCGCTGGGCAAAGAAGCCTTATAGCAGGAAAACTTCCTAGTAGAGTTTACCCAATTATCACGGCAGCCAAGCAATTTCTGTACTCAAGCATATCAACTTCCAAAATCCTACTCATGAGAATGGCTGTCAAGGTAAGAGAATAACCCTGAAAATGTGAGTTTTACTCGGAGGTTTTCAAATGTATGCAAACCGTGGGTCGGGGTCATGTTTTGAGCATTTTAGGTCAGTTTTGGAAACTTAAAAAACAAAAACAAAAACAAAAAACTATATTCCTTCGATATTTTATTTTTATCTTGTGAGATGGAGTCTCACTCTGTTGCCCAGGCTGGAGTGCAGTGGCACGATCACGGCTCCCTGCAACCTCTGCCTCCCAGGCTCAAGTGATTCTCCGGCCTCAGCCTCCTGAGCAGCTGGGATTACAGGTGTCCGTCGTCATGCCCGGTTAATTTTTGTATTTTTAGTAGAGATGGGGTTTCACCATGTTGGCCAGGCTGGTCACAAACTCCTGACCTCAAGTGATCCACCTGCCTCAGCCTCCCAAAGTGCTGGGATTATAGGCATGAGCCATTGCGCCTGGCCCCTTCGATATTTTAAAAGCCAAATGTTAGACACGGAGTAGGAGGCAGAGAGAAAACAGCATTTCACATAAACCTTTTCCTTAAAATATCTGGGCAGAATGAAAGCAACATCTTCCAAATTCAGGATTCTAAAATGACCTTTAATAAAAACCAAAAATTATCTGATAAGAATGCATCTCTCTTAATTACAATAATAGCAATGATTCTACTCTGCCTTGCAAGAAACCTTATGAAAGTTCAATTTCCGTTCAATTGCTTCATGTCCCCACAGCAGACACCATGTCTTGGGTCTCCTCTTTTCTCCATATGGTACCCACTCAACTCTACCTTTGAAACAGCCGAAAAGGCGAAATTAACCAAAAATTACATCCTGGTTAGAGAAGATAAACATTTAAAACCAATAGAAATAATGGTAAGAAGAGAAATCTGCTAACCTAATAACATACGTCATTGTACCCTGTTCAGAAATGCTTTATAAAACTAATCTTTAACTGCTATCTGCCACAAGTGACACAGGAAAATTTCAAAGAAGCCCAGCCTCATCATTTTACTACGTTAAGGGGTGGAAAACAATCTTTGAATATTCTTCAACTTCAGCGGCCACCTCTCAGCTGTCACTTGCATATGCAATTGCTTACTGGAGAAAGGTTTGGTATATGCACAGATTTCAAAGCAGCTCTGGTAGCCATAGTTACTGACTCATCCTCTCGGGCCAGAGCCCTGTGATTCTGTAGCCCTCACCACGGCTGTTCCTTCTACAGTAATGCATGGTGCGGCTCAGCTCCAGAGCAGCTGGGAATTAGGGCTGCCCCTCTTCTGGGATTGGGGAGGCAGGCAATAGCTTGTCATCAGATCTTTCTTCTCTCTCATTAGTTACTTTGGTAGCACATATCTTGAGGACTGAGGCTGAAGGAGTTAACGGATCTACCTATTCCTCTTCCCCTTTAAAGAGAGAGCAGCCACAGCCCAGGGAGTGGCTCTTTCTAGCAGCCCATCCCTTCAAACCTCCCAGCAGCAGTTATCTGCCACATGTTCAACAAACAACCCTACCCCCCAAAATATTCATTAATGCAGATTCACAGTTAAAATGGCTCCAGATTAAAGCCGAGTCAGTCATAATTGAGAGGGTGCTAAGCTGGATGACTATCAAAAGACATTTGATTAGGGGGCCTGCCAAAACGCAGTTCTAAAACCACAATTTCCATGCACAGTGTAATGGATATTATGGATAATTACCCAGAGTGCACTACTCAGCCACACAGCTGCCTACAATTACGTCCCCAACAGCTTCCTCCTCCGCTTCACCCTTCAAGCTCCCCCATGACGACTTCTTACAGCTTTTTCCAGAAGCTGGTATCTTCCTGACATTAACAAGAACAGGGCCCTCACAGGTATACAAGGAGGGGCGGGGTGGGGGGGAGCTCAGCAAATGTCACCTGTCCTGAGGCTAACATGCACATGTGGCACCCAACTGATCCTGGGTGAAGAGAAAGGAACATCTGGAGCTTAGGGAAAGCTTGGGGACTTCAAGGTGGGGTGGAAAGCACCATTTCCTGAAGAAACAAAGCTGCCCGGTCAACCGAGGGAGGCTCAAGGACACCACAGGCTTCTCACATGACTTGGATGCCTGGCACTTATGAGCATTCTGTATTAATATTAGCTTCTTTATTAAGTAAGAAAGCAGGGGCCCTTTGCCATCTGTTCATCATTCTCTATGCCACTGGTAGGAGTGCAGAAGATTCAATAACAGCTTTACCAAGGGTCATAACCAGGTTTACCTGCAGCTGGACGGCCTGTGCTTAGGCCCGAGGCAGTGGCAATAAAATAATAAAAGCTCCTGTTTGTGAAACAAGATAGATCAATAAAGGCTGCCCACATGACAGAACTACTTTCAGAAAGCCTCAGTGAACCTAGGTGACACGCTTTTCTCCAACTTCACATAAACCAGGCCACGTTATTTGGAAAGCAGTGAGCAGAGGCATGGGTCCACGTGGGGTGGATGGCTCTCTAGGGGTGCTAGAAGCCTGAAGCATGGCTTTGTTTCTACATAGCAGGAAAAAACCACATAGGCACTAAACTAACACAGTGGCACTCAACTCCAGTTCTGAAGGTAGACTGAACCAAAGAGAAGCTGTTTAATTAGTCCATCTAGAGATGCTGACACATTTCCATTCTTGTGACTGAATGTAAAACAGGGAACACATATGCGTATCTTGTTTTCTAATTGCCTTTAATGAAGTCTGCCTTCTATCAATCAGGATTCTTCATAAATTTCCAATCCATACATTCTCCTCCTTTTCCTATTTGAACCGTTAGACCACTTTCTTCTTCCAAACCAAGTCTCAGGTTGCTACCTCCTCCTGTTAACCCCATGCCAACGTATTTCCTTGGTGTGCTAAAGCGAGCCCTAGAGTTAACTGAACACTGAAAACAGCAATTGTCGTTCAAATGCTTTCTAAGAGTGTCTAAGAGTGTTGTTCCCAATTTAATTATACCCAACCCAAAGATGCCTTTTGATCTGCTGGTTTAATTTATATGCCTAAGAACATGCTACTAAAAGAAGCATATGTCAGTTTTTTTGGGCAGTTATTTCTGTTCCATTTATAATCTCTCTAGATTCTAAATCAAACAAATTAAAAATCAACCCCTTTAGAATATGCTATACTGAGAGCCTGATTTAATTTACTTTGTTATGTGATATTCAGGAAAGGGATTCTAGGGTGTGTCTTCTTCATTGAAGAAACAGTACTGGTTCTGTCAACAGAGTTATTTCTGTTCTGGGCACAAACACAGTAACAATGTTTTTTTCCTATTAAAATAATTGAGGTTTGTATCATCTCTCAACTACTCTATTATGACGTCACATAACACACTTTTATTTTATTTTTTTGGACACAGGGTCTTGTTCTGTCACCCAGGCTCAATCGATCCTCCCTGCCTCAGCCTCCCAAGTAGTTGGGACTACAGGCACACACCACCATGCCTAGCTAATTTTTTTTGTATTTTTTTGTAGAGATAAGGTTTTGCCATGTTACCCAGGCTGGTCTCAAACTCCTGGGCTCAAGCAATATTGTTGCTTCAGCCTCCCAAAATGTTGGGATTACAGGTGTGAACCACTGCGCCCGGCCATAACACACCTTTTAAAAAAAAAAAAAATCTAAGCTCATTAAGATTGAGTCACCTCTGATAATTTTATTTCTCCAGGCCACAGCCATTTGTAATACACTGTGGGTAGCTGTATCCTGTAATATATTGTCAAAATGTCATACAATATGTTCATGTAGCCTCAGAGACAGACTATGGCCTACAGGGGCTAAGACCAAAACAAGTCTGTATCATTGAAACAATACTTGAAAAAGACTTTCCAAGAGGGACACCATATCCTATTTGAATATAAGACTTCATGATCTTGCTCCCTAGATTTTGCAGAAGTGTTACAAATACTTTTAATGTATTCTACAGTGGAGAACTCTGCCTGTGCATGCATTATAAACTGTCCCATTAATAGGAGGGATACTGCCAAGCCCAGTAGCCACACCAGAATATGAATGAGAAAGAAAAGCAGACTTGACACAATACGAAGCCTCAATGGAAATCTAAACAAAAAACACCATCATCAACAACAACAAATCAAAACCCATCTGAGTTCAGCATCCAGTGCATACCTCTTCCGGTTCTATCAGCTTGAACTCCATGCCTCGGCCTGTCCAGGCAATGAAGTGGGCATTGGCTGGGTCATCAAGAAGGGTGACCAGGAACTGCCACAGCTGAAGGGAACCTCGCCTCTGGTAAGGCGGCCCCTCTCGATACATGGTAGGCTCCTGTTTGACTTTGCCTGTTTAGGACAAGGACACATCACACAATAGCTTAGTCCTAAGTATCTCAGGTGGTTGGGACAAAAAGGAGTTGTTCATGCTGATTTAATCACTGGACTTGGGAAGAGAGTCATGGCTGAGGTGTTCTGACATCTGCCAACCTCTACCTGGCAACAAACCTTGGATGGGGCTACTTACCTTCCAGTCTCTCAGGCACAACACAAGTGTCGTCAAAGTATAATCGGGGATCTTTTTCATATGAAAAACCTGAAAGAGAATTTAAAAAGAAAGACTACATTGCTTAACAAATTCTGTGTTGTACTAAAAAACTATGGATTTAAGGACTAGAGTGGCATCCTGTCATTTCAGACCCTAAGTCCTACTGCTGTATCTATGACAGACGGAATTTTCAGGGACTTCGAGAGGGCTCAGGCATTCCGATTCCGATGTAATCACCTGCGCCTCAGTCAGAGCCGCATCAATTCCTGCTTTTACAGCTAAGGCTGCGGGGAAGTGCTGAGTCACCAGGACGTTCCTTCACATTTTGTTTCTGAGGTCCGCCTGGATCAATGTTGCTCTGACTAAGCCTTTACATCTGAAAACACATCTCTATTTCAGTTGGCCTAGCTGGATGGATTTGGTTCATCTGTACACAGACCTGCCATTTTCCTTTTAGCTAAAATTAATTTCAACCTTTCCTATAAAGTCATCCAAGCTACTCACATACCTCATTCAATTACGAAAGAGCTTGAAGGGTAAAGAATGTTGCCAAAATGAATAAAGACTTGGGCCTGTAGAGGATTTCGAAAGCAGTATTGGAGGTATTATTACCAGACACAGTGGAAAGGATCTGAAAAGACTTTCTAGCAATGAAACAAATTCATTGTATAGATGACAAAACAGAGGTCAAGAAGGAGGAACTGGCCCAACAACACATGCAAAGGAAATAAAAGAAGGCAAGGCAAAAAGTTAAAGGGCTCAAGAAGGAAGGATGGCCTGACAGTCTTCCTCCACAAACCCCTAATATACATTCAGTGCTAACCACCATGTCACTAGGCACCCTGTCAAGATTGGTTTAAATCAAAGCCAGGTAACAGGTAACTCTGATGGGGGTCCCATCCCTCCTTGTAGTTTAGCCTGTCTCAAGGTGTAAGGTCTCCAGTGTATATTCCTTTACCAGCACACATCTTAGGACAATGCCCCAGGGCTCCCGTCTGATAAGCGGTGCTTCCCTGTGCTCTATTTTCCCTTCAGTTCACCTGGCTCATAGTACAGGTCTATGTGTGTTGGATATGCAGTACGGGCAGGTAGGTGAAAAGGCTCTGCAATGAAGGACTTTCATTAGAGTCTGCGAAGGATTCACTACGACTTGAAAAATCCACGAGGCTGGGCATGGTGGTGAGCAATTATAATTATAATTCCATGAGCAATTATAAGGATGACTGCACCTGTAAAGGTTCAAGGGTTCTGAATGAGGATAGGCATAATAACAAGTGCTATGTGGCTTATGGAGGAGTAGGCAATAAGTGATTTTAGATCGGTTTGTTGAAGACAAATAGCCTGTAATCCCAGCACTTTGGGAGGCCGGGGTGGGTGGATCATGTGAGGTCAGGAGTTCGAGACCAGCCTGGCCAACATGGTGAAACCCTGTCTCTAGTAAAAATACAAAAAATTAGCTGGGCATAGTGGTGGGCGCCTGTAATCCCAGCTCCCTGGGAGGCTGAGGCAGGAGAATTGCTTGAATCTGGGAGTTGGAGGTTGCAGTGGGTGGAGATCACGCTATTGTACTCCAGCCTGGGCAACAGAGAGAGGCCCTGTCTAAAACAAAACAAAACAAAACAAAACAAAAAACAAAAGAAGAAAAAGAAAGAAGGAAAAATCCATGAGTAAAGGTGCCAAGATATAGTTTTGCCATTCTTTGTTTCTTCAGTCAACCCAGATCAAGTAGCTTCTTGGCAGGACCAGCACCATTTTTAAGAGGCCTGGGACTGAAGAAACTCTGCACAACTGAGACTGTTTTGAGGTTTGTATTATTCATTTTTGTTTTCTCAGCCCTAAGCATTAGTTCTCTGTTGCTTAAGGACATCAAAGGAAGTCTATTTTATTGACATTTATATATTATTTAATCCACTAAGTATTTATGCCAGGCATTGTGCTAGAAGGGAGTCAGTAGCCAGGCGAATATAGACTTGGTCCTTGTTCTCATGGAGCCTGTATCTCAACTGGGGGAGACAGACAATAAAGGAGAAAAAGAAACAAGAGGTGGCACAGCACTGATGGACCCCAGTCAGCTGTGTGATCTTGAATAAATTAATCTCTGTGCTCCAGTGTCCTCACTGCAGCAGATAATTCCTACCTTATGGTGTTGTTATGAGAGTTTAATTGAGTTAGTATCATTCAACTGATCTATTTCTCTATCTTCATACCAGAGTGCCAAGAGTAGCTCCTGGTACATAAGTGTGTAATAAATGATAGTTAAAAAAATAAAGTCATTGTACATTGTGTTGAGTGCTATTAAGAAATTAACTGAATAATGTGAGAGCTTGATCGTATATCCTCCATGAAAGATTCTAAATTCCTTGAGGATAAGGATCGTATCTTGGTATCTTAGTGTCCTCATGGCACCTTACACATAAGTACTAAGTAAATATTTGAATAAATGAGAGGTTTTATAGTCTTCATTAAAAAATATTTAAGAATATAATGCTAACTTTCAAGTCAGGGATTAAATGACTCCTGAAAAATTTATTTTCCAATTTGGCACTCAACTGACTTTTATGACAAACTGGTATACTCTGTATTACCAAAAAGACTTTCATAATCCACTATGCTTCAAATATTTTGCCTTGTCTGCCAGAAAGCTATGTATTTCCCGATCTTCCATATGTATTTTGATATTCTGGTGATGTTCTAATGGTCTTATTATAAAGTCATTACAAGTGAACTACTTCAAAGTTTACGTATCTGTCAAACTTGCCATGTTATTTTTAGAGTTCTTCTCCTCTAAGGTAATCACAGTATGTAGAAAAAAAATACAACCACCTACATCTAGATGAAATTCTTGGTTTGGTTTTCAAAACTAATCAGATAAAGGTCTGCCTATAAGAAGTATCACTTTGGCATATTTTGTGGTTTCTAGTCATCGCCACATGCGGTCCTCTACACCACCTGGAAGATACTATTGGTTTAAGTGAAATTTAAGTCAGTTCAATTTGAGCCAGCAGTTATATCAGTTGTGGCCACAATCATCTCATCACTCAAATAAAGGTGGCAGGAAGGAAGACCTGTTTGAGGAGCAAACTAGAAACGAAAGACTCAAAACGTTATTATGCAAGGACTCCAGGTGAACACTTAAGGCAGGATGGCTATCTTAGCAATCACAGATGCCAATCAGAAACACTTGTTTCATTAACTGTTCCACAGGCATCTGTGGTCAAGCCTGTATAAGGATAGGAAAAGCATGTCAGGGTAATTTAGAACAATTAAAAATGCTGGATTCTTTGAAACTAACTTCTTTGATGTGTGTGAAGTCAGGGAAAGGAATGGGAAAGGGTGGAGGGAAAACACACACAAATGCACCAGATAGTCTGTGTGTAGTAAGCAACCCAATGCCTTGCTAAAAATATTTCCCTTAAGAGCATGCTCTTTCCTAAATGTTGTAATTATGCAAAATGTTTTCCTCCCTCTCTTCCCGACTCCCTCCTAGTTTGCCTGCTGCAGACATCAACTGCTTTTGTAGAAACATTCAGGAACCTCAGAGAGCCCCAAGCAGCTGTGCCCATCACAGCCAGTGTCCGGGAGACAGCTCTTCCTTTCCAGGGCTAGACACTCACTCAGAACATCACAGGGTACCCGGGGAAACAACACTCGGTCTCCCATCTAACCAAGTGAGCGCGAAGCAGCTACCCATAAAAACGACTCTTATGAACCAATCACTTATAAAAGCCACCCAGCGCTTCATGAGTATCAGCTCCTTTGACTTGCATTTAAAATGACAGACCAGTGGTTCCCAACCTTGGATGCACACTGGAATCACCAGGGGAGCTTTAAAAACTACTAAAGCCAGGGTCCCACCCCAGAATTTCTTATTTAATTGCTCTGAATGAAGCCTGGAAGTCAACATTTTTAGATGCTCCTCAGGTAATTCCAATGTTTGACCAAACTTGAGAACCGTTACTACTCAGTAGTTCTCAAACTTGAAGCTGCATCAGCATCTCCTGCAGGACTTGTTAAAACAACAGACTGCCGGGCCCCACCCCTGGGGGTTCTGATTCAGTAGGCCTGGGATGGGTCCCGAGAATGTACATTTCTAAAAAGTCCCAGGTGACGCTGTTGCCACAGGTTTTGGGAATCACACTGCTTTAAATCTTTAGGGAGAAATGTATTTGAGAAAAAGAAGACATACATCTGGGGAAGGTGTTATAAAAAAACTTCAATGTTTCAGTGTTTAGAAGGGAATTCCTCAATCCACCATCCCAAGTTAGCCTTTGCCCAAAAGGGTAACTTTAAGCTCTGAGCCCACCTCTCCAGGCCTTTCATGCCCCGCAAGCATGATCTCAGTCCCTACCAGGGCTCCTTTCCGTCAAATGAGCCCACTGATTTGCTACTGTCATTCATTTATGCAGGAGATTAAAAGCCCAATTATCCTCCCCCAACAAAAGGCTCCCTTCTTCCTTCTGATTCACATCTAATGACTTCTTTAGAGAAATCCTAAAATTAAAAAATCTGTGACAATGCACTAAAAACAACAAAACAGACCCTCACAAAAACCAGCAGCAGATGCCTTAAAAAATGTCATACCCCCTTTTACCCAGAAATTTCAGAAACTTAGCTTCAAGAATCAAGAGAACAAGAAAACAGCTAGATGAATGTTCACAGAATTTGAGAATAATCTGGAAGTACCCACTTTTCAGCAACAGGTGATCAGCTGAATGCATACTCATGCAATAAGTACTGTGCAGCCATTAACGAGGAAATCACAGGGGAATGTTGGGTGCTAAAGAGATGACATTGGCTGTGGAGTATGGAAGGAGATGAAGAGTATGGGCTCTGGAGCCACAGGGCTTGGCTTAGAGTTCTGGCTCTACTCTTACAGCCACATGCCCTTAGGCACATCTTTTATCCTCTCTGAGCCTCAGTTTCATTACCCTATGGGGCAAATAGAAATATCTATCCCTTGAGAGGTTGAGGAGGGCAGATCACGAAGTCAAGAGATTGAGACCATCCTGGCCAACATGGTGAAACCCCATCTCTACTAAAAATACAAAAAGTTAGCTGGGTGTGGTGGCACGCGCCTGTAATTCCAGCTACTTGGGAGGCTGAGGCATGAGAATCACTTGAACCCGGGAGGTGGAGGTTGCAATGAGCTGAGATCGCGCCACTGCACTCCAGCCTGGCAACAGAGTGAGACTCCGTCTCAAAAAAAAAAAAAAAAAAAAAAACAAAACACAAAAAACCAGAAATATCTATCCTATAGGGCTGCTATGAGAATTAAACAACTGAATTTATGCATGTAAAGAACACAGAACAGTGTCTGAAACATAGTAAGTGTTCAATTTGAGTTAATGACTATTGTTTAAAAAAAGACTATAAAACAAGGATGTTTTGATGTATGATCTGTATAATTCTATATTTACATATGCACAGCAAAGATTGAAAGACTATGTAGCAAGTTAATGGTTATCTCTGGGTAGTGAGACTTAATTTTCATCTTTTTGCCTGTTTGTATTTTCTGAATTTTGTGTAATTAGTATTTGTTGCTTGTGCTAAGAATAAGCTACAAAAGTTTGTATTTTAAAGAAAACTAGGCCAGGCGCAGTGGCTCATGCCTGTAATCCCAGCACTTTGGGAGGCTGAGGTGGGCGGATCATGAGGTCAGGAGATGGAGACCCATCCTGGCTAACACAGTGAAACCCCGTCTCTAGTAAAAATAAAAAAAATTAGCTGGGCGTGGTGGCGGGTGCCTGTAGTCCCAGCTACTTGAGAGGCCAAGGCAGGAGAATGGCGAGAACCCAGGAGGTAGAGCTTGCAGTGAGCAGAGATCACGCCACTGCACTCCAGTCTGGGTGACAGAGCGAGACTACGTCTCAAAAAAGCAAGCTCCTCCAAGAAACTGACATTCTAGCTCCATTCTGACTACTTCCTTGAAGCCATATGCTATGGAACACTTATGCATCTTATTTGTTCCCAATTACTTTCACCTAATTGGTAGGTCAGCACTAATAAAGGCAAAGTCACAGGCTCAACCTTGCCCACTGCTCCTGCTCCTCATTAGGTGAGATTATCTCAGAGACTTACTGAATTGAGTTGGTCCCAAAGGGATTGGGCACAAGAACTTGAGCAGATAACATATACCGTTGATATAAAATGATCATCTTCACATAAAAGTAAATGTTAGGATATGTGTCAAGGTTGGTGAAGAATACCTTCAATTTCCCCCCCATGTTAAAAGTGGCAACCATTTATCATATAATAATAATTACAATGAAGAGTTACCCACCCCGAGCACTCAAACTAAGTAAAAAACCTAGAGACACATTTTTAAAACTCTAAGACATCCTTGGACCCTCACTGACATAACTATAAAATGTATAAAAACCACTCTCACTGACATAACTCCTAAATTCCAGTTTAAGCTGATATTGTTACATAAACATAACCTTCATTTCTGGAATTGTGGAAATACGGTGGGTTTGTTTTTTCTCCAAATTGTCCTATCCTCTTAAAAAGTTGGGGTCATTGCTAATGAAAATGGCAGCCCTCACAGGGCTCAGGGGCATGCCTTAAACCCTGCCTGCAAAATAATTGAAGATTGCAACCAATTAGCTCTTATATTCATGAGCTAAGCAAGGTTTAATCTATGATCTCAAATCTTAGCCTGGAAACTGAGCAATTTTAAGCTTGAGTATTATTCAAGGAAAGAAAGAAAGAGGAAGGAAGGAAGGTAGGAGAAAGAAAGAGAAAAAGAAAGGAAGAAAGGAGAGGAGAGGAAAGAAAGCAGGCTCCTTACCTTCATGGCTGCTGGAGAAATAACCCCCTCTCATGTAGGATGACTGACAGTTAGGCACTTCTGAAAGGAAAGCAAAGGTGGACACAATCCTGTCAATAGTTTCTGCAGCAGACACAGCACATCGGTCAACTGCAGCTCTGTGGTAAAGCCCCTAAACGCTCTGGGGTCATGTCTTTTTGGCTTTGTCCTGGGAAAGAGGTGCCACACCACTAAGCAAGATGGCAAACACCACAACCCACCATCTGAAAGGCAGGCTCTCCTACTCAAGAGTCACGGGAGGAAAGAAAAAGATGTTTCACTCTCGTTGTTCACTCATTTTAGCAATTAGTTAACACCAAATCTGGTGAAAGAGCCAATGATAGTGGAAAAAATATTAGCTTTCAAAAGGCCAAGCCTGGCCTCTTGCCCCATGCTGACTCCTGGGTGTTAGGGTGGGAAGGGGAATATGACTGCTTCAGATCTTTCCCAATTTGCTCCCCTTTACTCCTCGTGGTCACATCCAATTCTGCTCCAAGAGGTGGGAGTATTTTTAGGCCAAAGGGATTAGCAGACCTGAAGTTAGGACGCCAGGACCAGCATTGGAAGGGGGGTACAGGATTGCAGTTTGGTCCATTTTTGCCATGCTGGGACTGTCACACTGAAACCAAACCACACTCAAGTGACCTCTTCTTCAAGCATCATGTTATCAGTGTTTCCCATAACCAATTGGTGCCTGAATAGATCAATCTACGTATTATCTCAGAGAAGGTCAAGAGCAAATTCCATCCAAAACTGAACCCCAACACTCTTCAAGCTTGGACTCAGAGATGTACTTCATACCACTTCTGAATGCCTACTGCACTTCCTACCACTTACATACCTTTTCCGTTTTGTTTTGTATTCCGTTGTGCATAAACACGTCAGCTCTACTAGCTCCTAAGTTATTTGAGGGCAATTCTTATAAAAATTACAAAAAATTCTTATAAAAATTCCTGTCCCCAAGGCCCTGCATGTATAAGACACTGAATAACGAGACAGAAGAAAGCAAGAATGAAGCAACGAATAGCACAATTTGATGCTGACCTGAATCGACGCAGTAATCCCGAGGCTCCTGCTTGATTCCCATTGGTGACTGGAACCCGTGTGCTGGGGGCCCTGGCATGGCTGGGACCCCATGTTCATAGAGTGGGTCATGGTATTCTTGTTTGAATCCCTGAGGGGGCGGGGGAGCTGCAGGGACAATAGGCTCTGACATTTGCCGATGGTAACTGGGGCGATTATCTCCAGGAACTCCTGGCTGAGGAGGGAAGGGGTGGCAGGGTTCAGACAGTTGTCTCTGAAATCTGTAAGAAGAAAGAGGTTTTCGTGGTGAACAAAGACTTGATGAATACCTACTATGATTGAGCACTGGGGACTAGAAGAAGTTCCAATTAATGAAATTATTTGCAAGATATTTAATAATGCTTATTTCTGGACATTTTTACCTTCTTCCCAAAATTACATTGTGTATTTCGAAGCTCTTGAGTCAGGAAGTGGCAAAAAAAAAAAAAAAAAAAAAAAAAAAAAATCAAAGCAATGATGTGGTAGCCTCTTTTTCTTTCATGTATGTATACTGTATGCACAGTCTATCTGTAAAGATGGGCCAGATTATGTATATGAATATATGAGACCAATTATTTGCAAATAGCACTAACATATACATAAATATTTGTTCACTAGTTCATCCATTCTCTCACCTACAGATAGAAGGAATTTTTAAAGACTGAATACAAACTAATCAGTTAGAAAATGTAGTTAAAAAGGAGAGAATCCCATTCACAGTAGCAATAAAAAACATAACATTCCTAGGAATAATCAGGAAACGTATAGGCCATATAAGAATAAAATCTTAAAATTGTTCTCTGAGGAAAAGAAAGAAAAAAGATCTAAGAGAAGATATTTAGGACTTTGAAGCTATTGATTCACTGAAAATTAATCTGTAAAAGCAAATGCCTTCCCAACTAACTTGACCAAATGATTCTAAACTTTATTTTGAAAGGACAAAAGGACCCACTAGCTATTGACATATGTCATAAAACTACACTAATTAAAACAGTAATACAAGGAATTGAGAGATAGGCAGATCAAAGGAATTTAGTGGCAAGCCAAAAACCGTCAAGTATATTTCAAAATTTACTACTTGTTAAGGTTAGCATTTCAAGTTAGTTGGGGAAAAAGACCCCATTTTATACAGATACCAAAATAAATTTCACATGGATTAAAGGTTCCAATATAAAAAGTGAAACCAGGCCAGGAATTATGGCTCATGCCAGTAATCCCAGCACTTTGGGAGGCCGAGGTGGGCAGATTGCTTGAGGTCAGGAGTTCAAGACCAACCCGGCCAACATGACAAAACCCCATGTCTACTAAACTACAAAAAAAATTGGCCAGGCATGGTGGTGGCTCACGCCTGTAATCCCAGCAATTTGGGAGGCCAAGGTGGGCGGATCAGGAGGTCAAGAGATTGAGACCGTCCTGGCCAACACGGTGAAAACCGTCTCTACTAAAAATACAAAAATTAGCTGGGTGCGGTGGTGCATGCCTGTAGTCCCAGCTACCCGGGAGGCTGAGGCAGGAGAATTGCTTGAACCCGGGAGGCGGAGTTTGCTGTGAGCTGAGATTACGCCACTGCACACCAGCCTGGTGACAGAGCAAGACTCCTTCTCAAAATAAACAACAAAAAAACCCCCCAAAAATTAGCCAGGCGTGGTGGTGTGTGCCTATAATCCCAGCTACTCAGGAGACTGCAGCATAAGAATCACTTGAACCCGGGAGGCGAAGGTTGCAGTGGGCCCAGATTGCGCCACTGCACTCTAGCCTGGGCGACAGAGCAAGACTGTCTTAAAAAAAAAAAAAAAAAGTGAAACCATAATATGAAAGTAAATATATATGAAAACTTACAAAACTTAGGAGTGAGGGAAAACCTAAGTATCATACCAATAGCAGAAATCATCAAGATAAACCTGGATATACCTCACTGTATAAAAATTTCTGTAACTTAAAAAGACACCAGAAACGAAACAAAACCAAAAGAAACACCTCAAACCAAGGGGAAAGAAACACATCAAACCAAACGCCAGAAACAAAACCAAAAGTAAAACTGAGGAAAAATCTCCACAGATACAGCAATCTCACTGTTGACATAAAGAGCTTTTAGAAATTAACAAAAGATGAATATCTCAAGAGGAAAAAAATGGGCAAAGGACATAGGAATATCCTTACAGAATAGAATGGTCATAAACAAAAAGTTTAACTCATTAGTAATTAAAAAAGTAACAAAGTCAAAAGAGAAGTATTTTTTTCCTTTTAGCTTGGAAGATGAGCAGGCAGTTAATAATTCAGTGCCAGGTACCCAAACAGCACTTCAATCACAAATGATGTGTAACTACAAAGATGGTCACCAATGCAGCTGTCTAACAAGGAAATCGGCTATATATATTGTGATACAGTCATTTAGTTGAAAGCAACCATTAGAAATTACATAATATGTAAATATATAAGGGCTTGGAAAGGTATTTTTGACATATTCAGGAAGGTTGCTAAACAGTAGAGTATCAAAGCTTAGCAAAAATAAAAGTAGTAGTATGGTGTCACATAAAACCACAGAAAGATTGACATTTAAATATTAACACTGCCTATCTGTGGGGTGGTTATAATTTTAGGTGAATTTCTTTTTTTGCTCATCTATAGTTTGATAATAAATATGCACTGTTTTTATAACAAGATAGAACAATAAAAACCTGTTGCTATTATTTGAGTTTCCTTAACACTCTTCAGTTGTCAGATAGATCCAGATGCATGCCAGCTGCCCTTTCCCTGTTGGGTGTGCAGTGTAGAAGGGAAAGCCTGCCATCCCTTAGTAGGGAAGTGACCAAAGGCAAAGTTTCTTGGCTTTGTTTGCTTATCTGTGACATAGGGATGTATTATCCTCCAAATGCTTCTGAAATGGTGAAATACAATCATGTGTGTAAAGGATGGTTTCTGCCACAGCCATAATTGACAGACTGGGATAGAGTTTAGGAAGGTGGCTGTGGAAGGTTAGAGATGTGTGACCCTCAGTCCATGAAATACACAGGAAGCACTAATCTATGTGTATAAAGAAAAGCATTTATGAATATATACCCTCAGGTAGAAAGTAGGAGCCAAGGTTCAAGGGAAAATAATACAATCCTATACTTTTAAGGTCTTATTCTCTACTTTTAGCTTAAATTCTATTAATTCATAGGATTCTTGAATAGCTTTAATAAAATAGTTCGAATTTGATTTGAATCAATCTGTGGGAACAGGTGGCCAGCAGATTTCTAGAACATCAAGATTTACGATCTTAAACTGAAGAGATCTGTGGGCAGATAGGATACTGTTTACAGCAGGGTATAGCACAGCACAACATGCTCTGTCTTTACTACTCTACCTAAAGCAGCACGGTAAGATCATTTCATAATATGAAAACTACTGGGCAATTTACATATACTTATCCTTTTATCCCAGACATCAAAAGCCTCAGAATCCACCTGGCCAATGTCTTAAACAAGTTTTACCAACTATTGAAGGTTCAGTGGGCTGACAGCCTTTCACGGGTCACTGAATGCCCTGCAGCAGAACTTCTTCAGGTTGCTGTTACTTAAAGAAACCTTTCAATGGTTTTTAAAGAAGTGTAAACTCCCAGGTTTACACTTGACATTTAGAACACAGGCACCGGCACCGTGTTGCAAACCTAAAGGGAATTCTTTCAGAAAAGAAAGACGAAGTTTTTTTTTTTTTTAAAGACAGTCTTGCTCTGTCACCCAGGCTGGAATGCAGTGACTCGAGTGACTTGATCTCAGTTCACTGCAACCTCTGCCTCCTGGGATCAAGTGATTCTCCTGCCGCAGCCTCCCAAGTAGCTGGGATTTTTAGTAGAAACGGGGTTTCACCATATTGGCCAGGCTGCTTGAATTCCTGGATTCAGTGATCTGCCTCTTTCAGCCTCTCAAAAGTTTGCTGGGATTACAGGCGAAAGTCACAGTGCCTGGCCAATGAAGATACTCTTTTTATTTATTTTTTTTTGAGATGGAGTCTCACTCTGTCATTCAGGCTGGAGTGCAGTGGCATAATCTTGGCTCACTGCGACCTCTGCCTCTCAGGTTCAAGCAATTCTCCTGTCTCAGCCTCCAGCAATTCTCCTGTCTCAGCCTCCCAAGTAGCTGGGATTACAGGTGCCTGCCATCATGCCTGGCTAATTTTGTTTGTATTTTTAGTAGAGATGGGGTTTCACCACATTGGCCAGGCTGCTTTCGAACTCCTGACCTCAAGTGATCCGCCCGCCTTGGCCTCCCAAAGTGCTAGGATTATAGGTGTGAGCCACCGCACCCGGCTGAAGATATTCTTAAGGCCTTGGTTTTGTAAAGTGCCTAAATCTTGTGCTACTTGAAAGGAATGGTAAAAACACCTTCCATTTTCTCTCCTTTTCCCCTCTGCCACTATTCCAGCACCTTCGAAGGTGACCTCCATAAATCAGTTCCTTTGATAGCTCCGAGTCGGCATGTGCTGCTCAGTTCTGTAACCAGAGCCTCTGCAGCTGGCAGGCCGATGGCCTCACTTCCGCTTAGTGCTCATCTTCTCACCTTCCACAATGAAACTCTAGAGTTGGCCTGGTATGGCCTCCTCAGGAAAAGGTACTTCCACATGGGCACTAGCCAGCTACCTCATCCCCTCCCCGCAGCATAACTTTAAGGATGCGCAAAGCTTAGAGGCCTGTGATCTGCAGAACAGATTCTATAACTGGGATTGTTCTGTACTGGTTTGTTTTGAGAGAGCGGGAGTGGCCAAGGGGGATCTCAGGGGTAGGTCACAAAGCCAGTGTCTTTGGAAGAAAGATTCTCAGAGCTTGCTGCTGATAATGTCTTTTATGTGCAGAGATTAGTAAAGTCATTCAGTCCTTGTCCTCAAAATACATCCTGTGAACTTTACTCACTGACCTTCATTTGAACCCCCCTCCCTTCTCCAGTCCTTTTGAAGTATGTGAGAATGTGTTGTATACATAATACAACCATGACAAAGATGCCTCTAATTTACCAAGGCAGGCAATCACTTTCAGTGAAGGCACAGCCTGGTTCCTACCAAACCTCTTCTTCCTCCCCTCCCTCCACTCCCACCATTAGCCCAACAGAGCACACGTGTAGGGAACTCACATTTGGTGAGCAAAGGGAGACTTCTGACTCTGAAAAAGCCTAAATTCAATAGGTCACAGTTTAAGGCTTTTTCGGTGCAAGTTTATTTAAAGAACCAGTTATTTATTTATTTGTCAGATTTATATAGCGCCTTTCCTCCCACGAGCTCACCCACACTCCCAACATTTGGTTTACGTTATGAAAACCGTTAGATGCTTTTTCTGCATTTCCTTTTTGGTTTCTGCTGCCAGCACACAGAGTAAACAAAATGCTTACAGGAAAAAAAAAAAAAGGAGAAAAGGATCTCACAAAGGCTATATGGTGATTATGGGTGCCAGGTGAAGCAGTGACCGTTTAAAG